TTTAGCATAATATAATGTATTTATTAGTATAATATAATAAATATTTAATTTATAAAAACATATATATGAATATTTATGTTAATTAATATAAAGAACTATATAATCATTATATTAATTTAAATTTTCTTTTTCTTTTTTAAGTTCTAGCTGATTTGCATATTGATAATAACTTGCAGCAGAAAATATAAAATTAATTGTAATATTATCCAATTCTTTAATATAATTTAAAACCATTAAAGTATAATTAGGTTTTTCTTCATTAGATTCAGCTATCAAATATTCAACATGTATTTGAAGACTTTTGACTATGAAAATCTTTAACACATTAACTTCATCTTGATTGTCTTGAAAACTATTGTAGTCAAGTATATCAATATATTATTTAAGAGATTTTTTCTATACTGATCCAGAAATAAAAAGTTCAATATTATTAAAACTTGAATTTTTGTAATTAATTAGTTTTAAATATTAGATTTTGTAGTTTTTTTAATATATAATAAATAAAAAAAAAAATTAATCTTTACCTTTTTTTTCAAATTAATTAACTTGCTAATTTAGCAATTTCATCATTATAAGTATTATGAAAATTTTCAAATAATTATCATAATTTAGCTAAAACTTCATTCTACTTTGGATGTGTATTAATCATATTAGGAATAACAGTTTTTATTAATATAGTACAAGTTCTTTTAGTTAGTACTCTAGTTTGCAAAAATAAAATGCGAGATTGTTTAGCAAAAAGCTTTGCTAAATTAGGTGTATTAGTATCACTTGAAGAATTCTATTATATATTAATATAAAAATTATAATTATAAATTTTATAATTTTATATTATATAAAGTAATAAAGTAAATAATTATAACTAACTTTGTTGGATAATATATTATTATTATTATTTAGATTTAATGTCTGTAATGCTAAATTCTTACATATTTCTAACTATTAAAAGAGTTGTGTTTTGTCTTGAAAAAAGAGACCATTTTTTGATTTACTAGACAAATGAGAATTAATATAATTTGTATTTGGCATATTTAAAAAAAAATATAATAGTTCTTTAAAAATCACAGAATTAAGATATTCATCTTCTGAAGATTTATCTTCATTATTAGCAGATGGAAAATACAAGTGTTTATTAAATTGTTTAAAAAAATAATCTTTTGGAGCTTGTTTTTCAAGATTAATTTGTTAATATTGCTCAATATAGTTATTAGGTTCAATTGATTCAATTGAAGGTGAGCATTGTTGATAGATAGAAGATGAATGTTGTTGTTGATAAATTGAAAGTAGGCATTGTCAATGAGATGAAGGTAAGTGTAAGCATTGTCAATGAAATGAAAGTGAGTGTGAGCATTGTCAATAAGATGAAGGTAGTGTAAACATTGTCGATAGGATAAAGGTAAGCATGAGTGTTGTTGATGAGATAAAGGTAAGCATGAGTGTTGTTAATGAAGATGAAGGTGAGCATGAGTGTTGTCGATAGATTAAAGGTAGATGTTGTCGATAAGATAAAGGTGAGGATGAATATTGTTGATGAAATAAAGATGAGCATAAGCATTGTCAATAAAGATAAGTTATTTTGTAACAGCACTTTATATTAATATCTAGTGGCATTTGTTAATATTAAAGATTTGATACTAGTTGCAGATATTGAAGATTCAATACTATTATTTTGAAGTGGTTCTTGTAACTCTTGTGTCTCTAGATTAATATTAATATTTTCTTTTGAAAAATTAAAAGATTAATCTTATTTTTTATTACAAATATAAGAAACTATTTTGTTTTATTAAAAATAAAAAACCATTAGTATACTTTTAATCTTTGTTTGACATGTTGTTTATTGTCTTTTTGTTCTTGAAATATTCTGTACTTGTTGTATAACCTTTGCTTTTGTGCTTTATGTTACTTTTTTAGCTACAAAAGAAAAGTTTTCAAGTTAATAGTCAATATAGCCTATTATATAAAAATAAATATCAATATTTATAAGCATCTGACTTTTATGCCATGTTTGATATAAAGATTCAAAGATTCTAAAGAGAAGATAACTAAAAAAAGTTGTTATTTATATTTAATCAATATGCAATCAAAATTAATACAAAATTTTATCATATAATTATCTAATTTAATTTCATAACTGCATACAATAAATTTATAATAATATAGTATAAAATTACTAAATTTTAAAATATATTTATTCTAAGTTTTAAAAAAATAGAGCAGTTAAAGTATCAAAAAGTGAATCAATATGAATATCAGAAAAGTTTTTTGCAAAAAAAGACAGTGTCATAATATAGTATATTAATTAGAAAATATTTTGTTTTTACAAAATATTATTTAAAGTAAAATTATAAAGTATATAGAAAAGTAATTGATTTTTTTTTTTGTTTTTCAACTATCACCTAAAAAAAAATTATTATTAGTATTTTATTTATTATACAATATATTAATAGGATATTAATATTAATAAAATTACCTTTGATTTGATTAATAAAAGCTGTCTATTCTTCCTTGCAAAAGTTCTTAAGCCAAGTTATTATTACATTATTGACTAAGTCTAAAGTAGTCTAATTGTTATTTAATGTTATAAATAATTGCATTAATCTTGGGTCTGCTATAGTAAATATGTTAAGTTTTTTTAATGAAATTTTGTCAGAAAATCTAGGAATGTTTATCGAAATTTCATCTGATTCTATACTTCTTTTTCTTTTTTTTCTTTTTCATTGACTATATGTTTAATATTGAACAGGTCAGATTTCATTGAGTTTATTTCAAAGAGTTGTTCAATTGAGGTTTTACCAATTAAAAGTGAATGCACTTGCATTGCTGATTTCATGCTTTTAGATCTAGTAGCAAAGTTTGAAACCTATTCCTTTAAGAAGATATAGGCTTCTTCAAATTCATATAAAAATCTTAAAAACATGCATCTTGTCACCTTTGAATGATATGAACTAATATTAACCTTATGAATTAATTAGTAACATGTTGTTATAAGTGTTAAGAATATTGATATTTGATTAGATACTTTAGTATTATAATTTAAAAAATGATTAATACTAAGACTAGATAGTAATCCTGATGCCCTTCTTAATAATAAGATTGCATCTTGTATATTTCCAGCTTCTTCTATTAACAAAGGTATTTTCTGTTCTTTTATTAATAGTTACTTCTTGTTCTTAAAATAGATTTAGTTTGAGAGCTTTACAGATTAATGAGGTATCAAATTGGACTGGATAGATAGAGTTTCTTTGTTGGATTACTATTTTTAAAAAATCTATTATGTTCCTATAGTACTCCATTTTTTTGATCCCAGAATTGGGATCAAAAAATGGAGCTACTACAGGCAATCCATTTTGTAAAAAAAGAAACTCGTGATATAAATTAGCTGTTTTGAACTTATTACTATTTAAAAGTTTATTTTTGGAAGAATTTTCATATTTAGCATAAAAACCTAAAGTGTTTGTCAGATTATTATCATCTCGGTTTATACGTATAAATTTTGGCCATTTAAGATTATTGACTACTTCTTTAGGTACTTTATAATTTGCTGGTTCAAGAGTAATTTGTCTATTTTCATTCTTTAATACTGCTTTTCTTTTTTGAGAAATACTTTGATCTTTTTCAAATTGAATCTGTGTACTACTGCACTTAGTACTAAACTACAATTTACAATATTCAAATTAAATTTTTTTGCCATACATAGAAATCTTGTAGACTCAAAACTGCATGATGATAAAATTTGTTTCACAGTTTTAATAATTAATTCCAAAAAAAATTGTATATTAATTAATTAATTTTTTTTAATTTTTTGTTTAATTTTTTTATTTAATTTTTTTTTTATTTTTTTTATTTTTTTTTAATTATTTATTATATATATACTACTATTTCTTGATGTTTTGCATTTACTTTTTTTCTTTTTCTTTTTTTCTATAATGCTAGTTTCTTTATTTTTTATTTCATCAAATTCTATCCTATCTATCTGGTTTGCCTTTCAATATCTTCTTTATACATTTCATCAACTTCCTTTTCAGCTTCATAGTTTATCTTTCCTTTATATATTTCATCAACTTTCTCTTTATAGTCATTTTTTATCATATTAGCATCCTCTTCTTTATTATTACTTTTTTCATTGTCCTTCTTCTCTGAATTTTGATTATTATTATTACCTAAATTTTACTCAATTTCATCTTTTTAACAACAAATGAATTAGTTATATTAGTAAATATAAACAGTATAGAATATTATATTAATTAATTTATACTTTTATTTGATAACATCTTTAGTTCATCAAATTTGACTTTATATTTGTCATTTCCTTGACTAAGCACTTCACTAACTTTAAGTATCATATCTAGTTTGTTAGCTACCTCACTTTTAAGGTTTATCATATCTTTACTTGATTCTACAATTTGAAAATTAAAAAATTTTTTAGTTTTATCTGAATACATAATTACGACCTCATCTCTCATAAATCCAATTAGCTGAATTTGTTCATCTAAATAGTACAAGGACAATAAGTATATATTGTTATAGGTGAAAGCCTTCTTGATTTTTACACTATAATGATGACACAGCACAGAGAATCCCTTACAGATATATGCGATATCCAAGAGGGAAGTATAGCTTCTGTTAGACATTGTCAAGAAACTATACTCTTCTTTGAGGCAGTTCAGGAAAGATAATGCAATACTAATAACTTTACTTTATTTCACTAAGAGGAGATAAACCTTGCCTGTAGGAATTATCCTAAAGAGAAAGTATCAATACAGTTTATAGTCAAAAGCCATTTATTAAAATAATAACAAAAAGGGCTATTCTTAGGTTTCTGTTCTTAAAGAATCCCAAAATATATTTACAATATTAAAAGGAAGAGAGGTGTCTGTTGCTTAATCACACTTGGGAAATTTAGCAGAGTTTATATATCTGTGAGCTAAGCAGCCAAGTGACTAAGTGATTAAGTAACTAAGCATCTAAGCAACTAAGTGACTAAGCGATTACTAAGTGACTGGAAGGTTCTAGCAACTAATAACTAATGATTACTAAGTGACTAATTACTAAATGACTAAGTGGCTAAGTGACTAAGTGACTAAGTGACTAAGCATCTAAGTGACTAAGTGATTACTAATCAACCGGAATGTTCTGACAACTTCTACTAATAATAATAATACAATAATAAAATAACTAATACTAAATAATAATAATAATATAATATAATAATAATAACTAATAATAATAATAAAATAATAATAAATCATTCTATAACATTTCTGCCTCCTTTAAAAATTTACTCTGTAAATTTTATGTTCTAATTACTTCAAGAAGTTGAGTATACTCATCATCTAGCAACTTGATAATATGTGTTGCAATCACATACTTCAATTGTAAGGTTATTTCTCTTGGTTGCAACTCGAGAACTTTGTATATTCTGAGAGCATCTTTTCAAGTATCTTTTGCTCTTCGTGTCACTTGAGCATTCTGAATAAGGTCTTTAATTTCTGACAGATTATTGGACTTCGAGATTATTTGTCCTAGGTAGTAGTAAGCTTCAATTTTCTTGTTGAGGTTATGTTGAGTACATCTAGGATTAGATAAGAACTTTAAGATTTGATTAACTTGTTCTTTTCATGTTCTTCCAGAAAAAGGATTAGTTATACTTTGAGTTGTTGGTTCTGGTGTCTGTTTCAAATCATTTATTATTTGAGTTAGATGGTTAGTATTATT